CTTCATTTAATTACATCAATTAAAAAAAAATACAAAAAGAAAGAAAAATCTCCTCAATAAGTGGTGTTGGGAAAGTTGGATTTCCACATGCAGAAAAATGAAATAGTATCCATGCCTCACACCATACACAAAAACAAGTTCAAAATGGACTAAGGATGTAAATGTGCAAAGTAAAATCATAAAATTATTAGAAGGAAATGCAGGGGCAGTGCTGTCAGTCCTAGCTTTTATCAGTGGATTAACTAACATACCATATTTGTACGCAAACAGCACACACACATTTTTTTTTCGAACTCCGCTCTCCCTCGGCCCCAAGGTATTTTCATACACGCTATGCCAGTTGAATATACTTTTCACCTTAGAGGACACGTACATGGACCCCAAACATATGAAAAGATGCACAATGTCATTAGCCATCAGAGACACGCAAATCAAAACCACAATGAGACACCATTTCACTATCTCTAGGATGGCTAAGATAAAAAATAATAACAAATGTTGATGAGGATGTGGGGAAATTGGACCCCTTATCCATTTCTGGTGGGAATGTAAATGGTACGGGCATTGTGGAAAATAGTGTGACTGTTCCTCAAAAAACTAAAAATAGAGCTTCCATATGACCCAGCAATTCCACTCCTAGGTATATACCCAAAAGATATGAAAGCAGAAGTTCAGAAACTTGTACATCAATGTTCATTGCAGCACTGTTTGTACGTAAAATGTTGGAAGTAAGCTAAATGCCCAATCAACAGATGAATCGATAATATCTGGTACATAACATGGAATGGAATACTACTCAGCCAGTAAGAGAAATGAAATCTTGATACATGCTACGATGTAGATGGAGCTTGAAGATATTAGGCTGAGTGAAATAAGTCAATCACAAAAGGACAAATATTGTATGACCTCGTGTTTATAAAAAGACAAGAAAAGGCAAATGTATAAAGGCCAAAGTTTATTACTGGGTACCAGGGGCGACAGGGAAAGGAGAGGTGGTTAATGGCAATGGAAAAATCCCATTTATTGAGAGTAGGGTTCTACAGCCAACTACTGTAATTGCTGTCAATAAGTTTTACACCTGTAAAAAGCTGAATTGGCAAAAGTGTGATGTATTTACAACAACAACAAAATAAATGTTATTGAAGAACTGGATGGTGCCTGGTACTGTTACTGAATATTTTTATCAAAGATTCCATAGAAGAATCCTTATCAAAAAAGCAAAAATGCAGAACAGAATTTTAAATTCTCATGGACACCAGACTTCCTGGTGCCACGAAGCCCTGAAACTGTTATCCTAGGGTAATCTTTAAACCTTAACTGAAAATATCCCCTGAAACCTTCTTTTCTATATATTGAGGGTGGGGGGAACAACAAAATTATTTATTTAACTAAAACTTTTGACATCCTTAATCAGCTAAACGTGAAACCACAGGAGAAACATGATTTAAGGGAGTGCATTACTCATGGATGAGACTGTTTATTTTATAAGCTGATAGGTGACCTCCAGGAGTAGCTTCAGAGCCAAGTTCAAAGGGTATCTTAGGGTAATAATCTCGGGGGTTTCTCTAGTCTGTTGGTCCAGTAGGTCTCACCTTTTTTAGGAATTTGAATTTAGTTATACATTTTTCTCCCCTTCTATCCAGGACCTTGTATCGTGTCCTTAGTTAGAACAGTTGGTACTGGTAGCCGGGCACCATCTATTTCTTTTGATCTCAGCTTAGAAGAGGCAGTGGTTCCTGTGGGCTGTTAGTCCTGTGGACTAGTTTCTTCTTTGAGTCTTTGGTTTCCTTCATTCTCTTTTGGTCCAGACAAGTAGAGACCAATAGTTGTATTTTAGATGGCTGCTTGCAGGCTTTTAAGACCTCAGACGCTACTCACCAAACTAGGGTGTAGAACATCTTTATGAACTATGTTATGCCCATTGACTGAGTTGTCCCCCAAGACTATGGTCCTAAGCGTTTTAACCCAGTAAACCAATCCCTTGAGTTGTTTGGATATATCTGGGAAGTCTCCATAACTGTGCCCCCTATGTGCTTTATTATACGTATGTGTATATATATGTAGCACACACAAACATGGATATACACATGCCTACAGATACACATACGTGTACTCACATACACCTTCCTATATACATATAAAAACCAACCCAAACCTGTTGCCACGAGTGGAACTCATAGTGACCCCATATAGGCATACCTATCTACCTTTGTAGTCACAAACATATTTTTTTAGTTGTTAATACTGTTGTTGCAAAATTGTATATGTTACAACATTTACGGAAATTGCCCCTTTTTCTTGTATCCTTCTTAGGGTCTCCATTTATCGTGGTTAAATTGTGCAGACTTCACTCATATTTGGTACTGCCTTTCCCATCACCAAAAATAACAAGTGTCTACCGTCTAGAAAGTGATTCTGCCGCCCTCCGCCTCCCATCCCTTATAATCGTGAAAGAACTTTGCTTTCTGTGTGTGACTCTATTCTTGACTTTTTTTAATAGTGGGACTATGCCGTTTTTGTCCTTTTGTGATTGACTTATTACACTAAGCACAATGTCCTCCAGATTCATCCATGTTATGTTTCATGGACTCTTTATTATTTTTTATATTTGTGTAGTATTCCATTGTATGTATGTACCACAACTTGTTTATCCATCCATCCATTGATGGGCACTTAGGCTGTTTCCATCTTTTTGCTATTGTCAATAATGCTGCAATGAACATAGGTGTGCATATGTCTATTTGTGTCACTGCTCTTGTATCTCTTGGATGTATTTCTAGGTGTGGGATTGCTGGCTCATAAGGTATTTCCATCTCTTGCTTTTTGAGGAAGTGCCACACCGTTTTCAGTGGTGGTTGTATACCATTTTACGAACCAACCAGCGGTGTATAAATAAGAGTTCCAATTCCCCCACAACCTCACCAGCATTTGTTGTTTTCTATTTTTTGATCACTGCCATTTTTGCAGGGGTTTGATAGTATCTCACTGTAGTTTCTTTTGCAAAATTTTATTTATTTTGGTGGTGTTCGGAATATACATAGAAAAAACATACACCAATTCAATAGTTTCTACATGTACAATTTAGTGACATTGGTTACATTCTTGGAGATGTGCAACAATTCTCACTCTCCTTTACTGAGTTGTTCCTCCCTCATGAACATAAACTCACTGCCCTCTAAGGTTGCTATCTAATATTTCAAGTTACTGTTGCCAATTTGATCCCACAAAGATAGTTCTTAAAAGAACACAATGCTCAAGGCAGACCTTTTTCACTAGTTACGCTAAACTATTGTTCAGCTTTAAGATCACCTCGGGATATTTTTGGTTTAAGGCTTAAAGACTACCTCACGGCAATTGTTTCACACATTCATACACCCTCCCTGGCTCCAGAAAGTCTAGAGTCCATGAGAATTTGAAATTCTATTTTGTGTTTTCCTCCTATTCATCAGGATTCTTCTGTGGAATCTTTCATCAAAATGTCCCTGAAGTCTTCTTAAAGACATACAATAGTGTAGCTTAACTAGTAAAAAATGTCTGGCTTGAGCATTATTCTCTTTTTAAAAAAACTATCTGTATGGGATCAAATTGACAATGGCAACTCAAAAGATTAGACAGGAACTTTAAGGAGCAGTAAGTTTATGTTAATGGAGGAGAAACAACTCCGAAAAGGAAGGTGAGAATGGATGCACAGCTCTAAGAATTAACGTCACAGAATTTTACATGTAGAAACTGTTTAACTGCTGTATGTTCTGCTGTGAATGTTCTCAACAACAGTAAAATGAATAAAACTAAAAAAAAAACCAGAAAATTCCACATCTCTTCCTTTTTGCAGAAAGTAACACAGGAGAATAAACCTGAAAGAAATGAGCTTGATCACCTAAGGGGTTACATGTGGGATATCTGTGGAAGGGTATGGGAAGGAGAGACATTTTTTTAGGTTACCTTTTGAACAGTTTTTCACATTTGGAACCATACTAGTGTTCAACATACTCAAAGAAATAAAATTAAATCAACAAAGATAGGGAGAAAACCCTAAAGTAGTGTACAAAAAGAAACAAATCTAACTGTATTTCACATGAATAACATGACCACAGTGACCAGGGGGAAAACAGCCCAATTAACCTTTGAACAGAGAACTTTGACCATGTATTCAGTCTAAAGCAAACTACAGCCCAAAGGCCACATCTGGCCTGCCTCCTATTTTTGTAAATAAAATGTTCAGAACACAGCCACTCGTTTATGTATTGTTTGTGACTACTTTCATTCTGTTATGGCAGAGTTGAGTAGTTAGGACAGACCGTGTAGTCCACAAAGCTTGAAATATTTACTGTTTGATCCTTTACAGAAAAAGTTGGCCAGTTTCTTGTCTATTGACCAAACAAAAACAAAAACTGTATGTAAATCTTTTACTATATTTTGTATGTTCATTTTTTGTAGCTATATGGGTCAACTATTCTGAAATCCCTTTGTTTGAATTTTAAAATTAAGTAAATGAATAAATATACTGATGTCGGGAGCCAGGTTTCTCACTATTGGAGAAGGGAGATACAAATATGCAATGGGGAAGGCTAGAAAGAACCTGGATTTGGATTGGAATAGGAAGTGTCAGAATAGACTCAGGGGTTTTAAAATATTTGGAAACACACATACACACACACACAGACAGATAGAGAAGACACATGCAACACATACACACCAGGTGAAATTTGAATGAGTTCAGTGTACCTATAACAGTATTGTGCCTTTAGTCGATTCCAACACATGGTAACCCCATGTGTGCTGAGTATAGCTGCTCCATAGGGTTTTCAAGGCTGTGACCTTTCAGAAGCAGATTGCCAGGACTGTCTTCTGAACTGCCAACCTTTCAGCCCGTAGTCAAGCACTTAACTGTCTGTGCCACCCAGGGACTCCAGCAATGAGATACTGTCTGTCATAAGAGAAGGAGAAGAGCCCAGGCAGCCCACTTATGGCTACTCTAATGGAAACCTTTCTCTCTTCAGCAGAACCGAAGCCAGAACTCCACCCCTGCTCCTCCTGCCTTCTGGCTGTCTCCTGTCAGCGATTCCTCAGCCAATACGTGCTTCCCATCTTCCCAGGCTTATGTGTGGAACATAACTTCCATCCGGGGCATTCCAGCCAAGGACATCAGAAGCAGCCAGAGCAGCCGGATTCTGATCAGAGCTGCTGGAGGGAAAACACAGAAGGTCAAGAGAGAGAAGAAGTCTCCAGACCCTTGTATGGGAGAAGAGGGGAGAGAGGGACTTCCAGGGCATTCTCCAGCCCACCCCGAAGACAGTCAGCAAGCCTTAGAGAAGGCAACACAGGGGTAGGGGTAGAGCCCAACTCAGCCCAATGGGTGAAGCCTGTGGAAAGAGGCCAAGGGTTGAAGGAAATAGAAACCTCAAGATTTGGAGCAGCCATCTCTAGAGAGGATGAACCAGACTGTGGCGTGAAGTCAGACTTCATCACACACCAGAGGTCCTTCTTCTGGAGGAAGCCGTATGTTTGTAGTGAGTGTGGCCGGAGCTTTAGCCACAAGTCATATCTCATCAGACACCAGAGGACACACTCAGAAGAGAAGGCTTGTGTGCACCTGGAGTGTGGGCAAGGCTTTAGCCAGAAGTCAGACCTCATCATACATGAGAGGACACCCTCAGATAAGAAACCTTATGTTTGCTGTGAGTGTGGCCGAGGCTTTACCCAGAAATCAGTCCTCTTTATTCACCAGAGGACACACTCAGGGGAGAAGCCATATGTGTGTAAGGCATGTGGGCAAGGCTTTAACCGTAAGTCAACTCTCATCAGACACCAGAGGACACACTCAGGAGAGAAGCCACATGTGTGCAAGGAGTGTGGCCGAGGTTTTAACCGTAAATCAAATCTCATCAGACACCAGAGGACACACTCAGACGAGAGACCTTATGTGTGCCTGGAGTGTGGGCGAGGCTTTAGGCAGAAGTCAGGCCTCCTTCTCCACCAGGGGACGCATTCAGGAAAGAAGCCACACGTGTGCAAGGAGTGTGGGCGAGGCTTTGGCCAGAAGTCAGGCCTCCTTTTCCACCAGAGGACACACTCAGGGGAGAAGCCACACGTGTGCAAGGAGTGTGGGCGAGGCTTTAGCCGGAAGTCAGGCCTCCTTCTCCACCAGGCGACACACTCAGGAGAGAAGCCACATGTGTGCAAGGAGTGTGGGCGAGGCTTTAGCCACAAGTCAAATCTCATCACACACCAGAGAACACACTCAGGTGAGAAACCTTACTTGTGCCTAGAGTGTGGGCGAGGCTTTAGCCAGAATTCAGGCCTCCTTTTCCACCAGAGGACACACTCAGGGGAGAAGCCACATGTGTGCAGGGAGTGTGGGCGAAACTTTAGCCAGAAGTCAGGCCTCACCACACATCAGAGGACACATTCAGATAAGAAACCTTATGTTTGCAGTGAGTGTGACCGAGGCTTTAACCGGAATTCACGCCTCCTTATACACCAGAGGACACATTCAGGGGAGAAGCCTTATGTTTGCAATGAATGTGGCCGAGGCTTTACCCAGAAATCAGTCCTCATTATGCATCAGAGGACACACTCAGGGGAGAAGCCATATGTATGCAAGGAGTGTGGACGAGGCTTTAACCGCAAATCAAATCTCATCACACATCAGAGGACTCACTCAGGTGAGAAGCCACATGTGTGCGAGGAGTGTGGCCGAGGCTTTAGCCAGAAGTCGAATCTCATCACACACCAGAGGACACATTCAGATGAGAAACCATACGTGTGCCTGGAGTGTGGGCGAGGGTTTAGCCAGAAGTCAAGTCTCCTTCTCCACCAGGGAACACACTCAGGAGAGAAGCCATATGTGTGCAAGGAGTGTGGGCGAGGCTTTAGCCAGAAGTCAAATCTCATCAGACACCAGAGGACATACTCAAGTGAGAAAACTTTCATGTGCCTGGAGTGTGGGCGGGGCTTTAGCCAGAAGTCAGGGCTGTTTTTCCACCAGGCGACACACACGGGGGAGAAGCCACATGTGTGCAAGGAGTGTGGGCGAGGCTTTAGCCACAAGTCAAATCTCATCACACACCAGCGGACGCACTCAGGTGAGAAACCTTACATATGCTTGGAGTGTGGACGAGGCTTTAGCCAGAAGTCAGGCCTCCTTCTCCACCAGGGGACACACTTAGGGGGGAAGCCACATGTGTGCAAGGAGTGTGGGCAAGGCTTTAGCTATAAGCAGAGCCTCATTAGACATCAGCATGCTCAGTCAGGAGAAGCCGTATGTTTGCCGTGAGTGTGGCCAAGGCTCTAACTGTACATCAGTCCTCCTCATTCACCAGAGGACACAGAATAGAAACTCTGTGCGCAAAAGGAGAATGAGCAAGAATTTGAGAAAAAGACACACTTCATTATACATCAAAGAACGGCTCTTTTCTTTTTAAAGAACCCTTATGTGGCATGGAGAATGTGAGCTGCTTTAGTGGTAAGTTGTACCTCCTCTTGCCCCAGAAGGCACACTCAGGGAGATAGCCGTGTGGACACGGTCTGTGGGCGGAACTTCATTCCAGTGCCCCCCCCCCCTTACTGACTTAAGGGGACAAAATGTCACCACAATGACTCCTTTACCCACCTCTGAGGGGGTTTCAGGAGAAGGTCTTCTGACTGCCTGTGCTCTGTATGGGGGTGACAGTGTCAGTAGTAACTACATAGACTAATTTTTCACGTTCTGTTATCAAATGGAATGGAAAATTAGAAGGCTTAAGTAATCGAAGAATGGTTGACTTGTTTTATTTTCATGCACAGTTCTTTCCCATGCTTTGTTGTCCTTTCATTGTAGTAAGGTTTTTCTTTAATAAACCATAACTCAGGCTGTGTTACTCATCTGTCCCGAAAGCTATGTGGAATTGAAATTCACACTCCCAAGTTTCTTGAATGAATTCAACCCATGAGAAAAAATAAGTCCTAAATTTATCAGAGAATCTGATCCTTTGCATGGGGAGAGGAGTGATCTAGGTTTTGAAGACAGATACCAGGTAAAGGAGGGAATGTCCCACATTTCCAGGGGCTGAATTACCACTTCTCTTACCTGATCACTTTTTTTTTCCTAGTAACTACCTTCTTCTGTTGTCTTCTGTCAAAGCTCCCATCTGTGGTTTTCCTTTTTACTTTCTAGTCTCTATGCTGATCTGCTGAATCTTTCTCCACCCATTGAAGTATTGCTGTTCCCTAATACTCACTTCCCAGTCCTAGCTCCAGTGTCCTTTTTTAACTATCTACTCTCCCTTGGCTTTTCCCATGTGTCTGTCAGTTTGTTGCACTGTGGGGGCTTGCATGTTGCTGAGATACAGGAAGCTCTGCCATCAGTATTCAAATACGAGCAGGGTCACCCATGGTTGCAGGTTTCAGCTTAACTTCCAGACTGGGACAGACTAGGAAGAAGGACCTGGTGGTCTACTTCTGAAAAAAATTAGCAAGTGGAAACCTTAGGAATAATAATGGAACATTGTCTGATACAGTGCCAGAAGATGAGCCCCTCAGGTTGGAAGGCACTGAAAAAAACAAGTGGGGAAGAGCTGCCTCCTCAAAATAGAGTCGACCTTAATGACGTGGATGGAGTCACGCTTTTGAGACCTTCATTTGCTGGTGTGGCACGACTCAAAATGAGAAGAAACAGCTGCAAACATCCATTAATAATTGGAACTTGGAATGTATGAAGTATGAATCTAGGAAAATTGGAAGTTGTAAAAAATGAAATGGAACACATAAATATCAATATCCTGGGCATTAGTGAGCTGAAAGACTGGTATTGGCCATTTCAGACAATCCCATGGTCTACTATGCCAGGAATGACAAATTGTAGAGGGACGGTGTTGCATTCATCATCAAAAAGAACATTTCAAGATACTTCCTCAAGTACAATGCTGTCAGTGATAGAATATCTATACTCCTACAAGGAAGGCCAGTTAATACAAGTATTATTGAAATTTATGCACCAACCATTAAGGCTAAAGATGAAGAAACGGAAGATTTTTACCAACTTCTGCAGTCTGAAATTGATCAAACATACAGTCAAGATGCATTGATAATTACTGGAGATTGGAATGGCAAAATTGAAAAGAGAAGGATTGGTAGTTGGAAAATATGGCCTTGGTAATAGAAATCACGCTGGAGATCACATGATAGAATTTTGCAAGACCCAATGATTTCTTCATTACAAATACTTTTTTCACCAACATTAATGGTGACTGTACATGTGGACTTCACCAGATGGAATACACAGGAATCAAATCAACTACATCTGTGGAAAGAGATGATAGAAAAGCTCATTATCATCAGTCAGAACAAGGCCAGGAACCGACTGCAGAGTAGACCATCAATGGCTCATATGGAAGTTGAAATTGAAGAAAATTAGAACAAGTCCACGAGAGCCAAAGTATGACCTTGAGTACATCCCACCTGAACTTAGAGACCATCTCAAGAATAAATTTGATGCATTGAACACTAATCGCCAAAGACCAGATGAGTTGTGGAATGACATCAAGGACATCATACATAAAGAAAACGAGAGCATTTAAAAGAATGGAAAGAAAAGACTGAAATGGATATCAGAAGAGACTCTGAAAGTTGTTCTTGAACGTTGAGTAGCTAAAGCAAAAGGAAGCAATGATGAAGTAAAAGAGCTGAACAGAAGATTTCAAAGGGTGGCTTGAGAAAACAGAAGTATTATAACAAATAGAAACCCAAAAAGAAAGAGCATGCTCCACATTTCTTAAGCTGAACAAACTGAAGAAAAAATTCATACCTCAAGTTACAATATTGAAGGATTCTTCAGAGAAAATACTAAACAACCCAGGAAACATCAAAAGAAAGTGGAAGGAATACATGGAGTCACTATACCAAAAAGAATTGGTCAGCATTCAACAATTTCAGGAAATAGCATATGGTCACAAACCGATGGTACTGAAGGAAGAGGTCCAAGCTGCACTGAACGCATTGGTGAAAAACAAGCCTCCAGAAATTGACAATACCAATTGAGATGTTTCGACAAATGGATGCAGCACTGGAAGTGCTCATTTGTCTATGCCAAGAAATTTGGAAGACAGCTACCCAGCCAACCGACTGGAAGATATCTGTATTAGTGCCCATTCCAAAAAAAAGGTGATCCAACAGAATGCAGAAATTATCGAACAATATCAATATCATACACAAGTAAAATTTTGCTCAAGATAATTCAAAAGCGGGTTACAGCAGTATATCAACAGGGAACTGCCAGAATTTCAAGCCGGATTCAGAAGAGGATGTGGAACGAGGGATGTCATTGCTGATGTCAGATGGATCTTGGCTGAAAGCAGAGAATAGCAGAAAGATGTTTACCTGTGTTTTATTGACTGTGCAAAGGCATTTGTGTGGATCATAAATTATGGATAACATTGCAAAGAATGGGAATTCAAGAACACTTAATTATGCTGATGAGGAACTTGTACTTAGACCAAGAAGCAGTCGTTCAAACAGAACAAGGGGTTACTTCGTGGTTTAAAGTTAAGAAAGGTGTGAGTCAGGGTTGTATCCTTTCACTGTACTTACTCAGTTTATATACTGAGCAAATAATCTGAGAATCTGTGCTATATGAAGAACACAGCATCAGGATTGGAGGAAGACTCATTAACAATCTGTGATACGCAGATGACACAACCTTGCTTGCTGAAAGTGAAAAGGACTTGAAGCACTTACTGATGAAGATCAAACACCATTGGATTGCACCTCAGTATAAAAAATCCTGACAACTGGACCAATAAGCAACATCTTGATAAACGGAGAAAAGATTGACGTTGTCAAGGATTTCATTTTACTTGGAGCTGCAGTCAACACCCATGGAAGCAGAAGTCAAGAAATCAAACAATGCATTGCATTGGACAGATCTACTGCAAAAGATCTCTTTAAAAAATGTTAAAAAGCAAAGATGTCACTTTAAGGACTAAGGTGTGCTTGACCCAAGCCATGGTGTTTTTGGTAGCCTCATATGCATTCAAAAGCTGGATGATGAATAAGGAAGACCAAAGAAGAATCCATGCCTTTGAATTATGGTGTTGGTGGAGAATATTAAATATACCATGGACTGCCAGAAGAACAAACAAATCTGTCTTGGAAGAAGTACAGCTAGAATGCTTATTAGAAGCGAGGATGGCAAGACTTCGTCTCACATACTTTGGACATGTTATCAGGAGGGACCAGTCCCTGGAGAAGGACATCAAGCTTGGTAGAGTAGAGGCTCAGTGAAAAAGAGGAAGGCCCTCAACGAAATGGATTGACACAGTGGCTGCAACAATGGACTCAAGGATAACAGTGATTGTGAAAATGGCACGGGACGGGGCATTGTTTTCTTCTGTTGCACATAGGGTCGTTATGAGTCGGAACCGACTTGATGGCACCTGTCTTAGTCATCTAGTGCTACTCTAACAGAAACACCACAGGTGGATGGCTTAAGAAAGAGAAGTTTATTCTCTCACAGTCCAGTAGGCTACAAGTCCAAATTCAGGGCATCAGCTTCAGGAGAAGGCTTTCTCTCTGTTTCGGCTCTGGAGGAAGGTCCTTGTTATGCATCTGTCTTCCTTTGGTCTGGAGCATCTCAGCGTAGGAACCTCAGGTCCAAAGGACACGCTCTGCTCCTGGCACTGCTTTCTTGGTGGTATGAGGTTCCCATGTGTCTCTGCTCACTTCTCTCTTTTATATCTCAAAAGAGATTGGCTTAAGATGCTATCCAATCTTGTAGATGTCCTCAGTATAACCTCATCATAGTGATAAAGAGTTTACAACATATAAGGAGATCACATATAACGTCATCATAGTGATAGAGTTTACAACACATAAAGACATCACATCAGATTACACAGTCATACAGTACGGGGAATCATGACCCAGCCAAATTGACATTTTTGGGGGACACAATTCAGTCCATGACAGCACCTAACAACAACTCCCTCGCCTTGAAGTCAGCTTTCCAGAGCCTTCCAGATTGCAGATTCAGATCCTTTAAGCATGCCCAAACTGTTCACCAGTCTTATTTCTTTGGACCCCTTGGCTACTCCATATGTCAGGTCAATAATGATAGGTCTAACTCCATTGCTGTCGAGTTGTTTCCGACTCATAGTGACCCTATATGTTTCTCATACCAGGTGTAAAGACCTTTAGACATGTCCTCTCCACCTGCCAATCCTAGGACCCATTCCTATTAGTGGCACTCCCACATCATTGTAGTAACTGCTCTGAGACAACGTAGCCATACCACTTCAATTGTTTCTCACTCCAAGGACCTGGTCCTTTAACCATGCCCCTCTCTAGTGCTCCTCCTGAGCTGAAATTGCCCAGTTTTTCGACAACTCCACATATCCTGGCCCTTACCCCTGTGTCCTGGGGCAATAACTATTCACTGG